CAGCCGAAGTCCTGCCCGCCGCTCCTCGGTGGTCGCTACCTCGTCGTCGTCCTCGTCGGAATCACTGAGGAACGGATTCACGCCGCCGCCACTGCCACTACCTCCAGGCGCCATCGCCGCCATCTTACCCTGTCAGGCGTGTGGGCGCCTCCCTGACTGGCTCTGACAGGCCGCAGCCTGAATCTCCTCTAAGCCTCAGAGAGCACTCCGCACCTCCACAGCCCCAGTCCGACCACGTCCCGCCTCCCCACCTAGATACCAGACATAGAGCTTGCAGGTAGGAAGTCCGGACGCAGCACAACCCGTTGGCCCCGGCCGCTGCTGCACCAGCAGCCGAGCTCTGCAGGCGTCTTCCTGGTCTTCAGTCTCGCGATAACTGAGGCGTGCCCTGCCCCTCTCTCCCAGCTCCGCCCCAGCCCCGCCTCAGCGCAGCAAGGCCCCGCCCACTCTCAGGGTCAGAAAGCAATGATTGAAGGCCCGCTCCCCGCTCGAAAGCAAAACCACGCCCACAACTTCCCTATGATTGGCTGGAGGAGGAGGCTGGGGGCTGGAATTACTGGGAAACCGGCTCTAGAATTATCGCGAGAACAATCTCTGGCCAGGTAGGTGTTGGGGGCGTTCCGTGGTTGGAGGACGCTGCGGTGGTGTTCTAGCGTTATCTTTTGGGCTGTGGTTTCGGGGGGGACAAAAGGGATCCCTGCCTGAGAGCTTTAATGGCGGTGGGTCCTGCCTTCACGCTGAGGAGGCTTCGTTCCCGCGATCAGGCCTAACCCGGATAAGCCCCAGGTAAAGTTCAAGGACCAGAGCGCTCAGGTGCTGCGGCTCCGAAACTGGCCTTATGCTGGCGAACACACTGCATCTTTTAGATGCTTCCCTTTTTCTCGCTGATTGTTGCCAGTTGGAGACACTGTCTCTGCTCTGGTAGCAAGTGTTCTCAGCCACGTGCGTGCTCAACCTAGAGGCCCAGGGACAGCGCCGACTTCTTGCGCTCTCGCCCTCGTGCCCTGAAGTTATCAAGGTGTGGGGCTGGGACCTGGAGAGACTGAGCCAAAATGGAACTCAGGTTTGGACTTGCAGGATTTGTGGACAACAAATTCAGTATTCAGTTCTCAATGATCTCTTAGGATTTAATACACAGTTTGCATAACAGGACCCCACCAAAATATCAAATACTGCCCCACTGTAGAGAGAGAAGTAAACTTGAACCTAGAGAGCTCAAAGATCTTGTCAAATCCAGTCCATTAGAATTTACTCAACGAACATAGTTTCTCTTATATCCGAAGCTACTGTTTTCCCACTATGCTCTGCGACCCTTCCGGACTCATTTAAGTTAGAATCAAGATTTTGATTGTGGAACTTAACTATTTTAAAAATTGAATGCTTGGGAGACTTGATTTCCTTTAACAAGCATTGACACATTTAAGTATACTCTTAAGTTTGGGAGATTAATGTTTATCTTTAATGTCCTTCCTTGATTACAATCTGGGATGATAAAGGGAATATTTTCCAGTCAACAGTATTAGATTACTATCCGCATAGCTTCTATTTTCTTCACATACAAATTGTCACTTTTGCAATTTTGGTTTCCTTTCCTACTGTACAACTTATAATAAACCCCAAAATAAATGAGCACTAGTAATTATGACAATCAGGTAAGCTACAAATCACACTGAAACAGTAAAGTGTCTCCTTTAGCTCTGTGGAAAAATAAAAATAGAGCATTCTTAAATAACCTTAGATGAGGTTATTGGTTTACATGTAAAAGTATGCTACAGTTGCCTGTAGGTTTTAATTTCTGTTTACCCAGGCTCAGTATGCTAAAATTTTTATTTGAATGAGGCTTTGGATTTTCTTGTTTGGTTTTTGCTAGAAATTTTTATAAAATAATGTTAGTACCAAAAATGTAACCTATTTTTTATGGGACTTTAACTCCTGACTTCAGACGCTAATTATCTGTGCATCAGAAAAACATTTAAAAAAATCTGATATTAGGGAAATAGTTTGAGATAGCAGATATGGTATCCTGTTATAGCTTTGAAATAATTTATCAGAAGGAAGTACTAATTCTTATTTTAGTTGAGTTTGCTAGACAGAATGTAGAAATGGAGGATTAGTGAATAGTATGGGAAGGGCATGATTAGGAATGGATTGTTTATATATAATATTTCATTTCCCATAATGGGGAATTTTAGAACTCTCCTGTGTTTAGGATTCCTGAAGAGGATTGTGCTTATTACGAAAAGAGCCTAAGTTCAATTTGCAAACTGTTTATTTTGAGACATTGAAAAAGTTACCTAACTTATCTTCACTTGGCATTCATCTGTCAAAGGAGATAATGTAAATAACGCACAGGTTTGTGAATATTCTTGTCATAGTGCCTGGTACTTGCTATGCCATAAATGTTACAATGGGTAGTTAAAACTTAACTGGTTTTAAAAACTGAAACAACTTTCAGCAGCCAAGGCCTGAAAAAGCAGTTAAGTCAGTAAGGCTATAAAGGAACTTAGGGTCTGAATTCTAAAACACAAGTTGAAAATAGTTATACAGTGTTTCCACAGAGAGTTGTATAAAGTTGAATGTCGACATTCTTCCTTGACTGACTTTCTATGTAAGTCTGGAGTTTTCTGCTTCTATTGTACTTTCTGTTGTATAACCACTGGCTTGTTGATTGCACCTGGCAAGCCTATAAAAAAATCAACTGGCCAGTCTTCCTAGTAGGTACTTTTCTATAATACATAGAGGTTATCAATTAAAAATGTGGAAGAGGGGGCCAGCAGGTGGCGTAGTGGTTAAGGCACTGGACACTGCCACATGGCCGACCAAGGTTCGAGTCCTGGACCTGGTGGCTTGCTTTCTCACTTTCCTTCTCTCTGTGTATCTTTCTGGTCAAATTTAAATAAATAAATAAAACTAAATAATTCTTTTAAAAAATGTGGAAGAAGTAGTACACACTAAGATATTAATAATTTCTGATCTGTACATATTATTCATAGTATTGGGAAATATCACTTTTACTTAGAAAGAGTTGCATTAGTCTAGGCCTTTACAGTTATATTGTATCTGAATAATAGGGGTAGTCATTGAAGTTTGTACCTTAGCAATGAAAATGTAAAAAGAAAAATGACCTTTCCCCCAAGCATTTCAATCATTTCAGTGTTTAAAAAATTATTTTTGGCTTTAATGGTCTTAATAATCACAAGTTATATTCTAAATACAAGTTTTTTGTTGTTGATTTAAAGTTGTAGCAGTACATAATGTTTTAGTATCTTTCAGTGTGTTGCAAACATTCCACAGTTAAAGCTAGATAACTTTTAGTGGTACATGAATATATATTCTAAAATGTTTAATAGTTATGCTTTTATTTTGGAGGTTTCCAAATCAATGAAGACGCTTTCTTTTTTTAATAAAACTGAATAAGATGCGACTCTCTTCAAAAAGAAATATTAAGTAATAATATTGCTTATATACATGTGACTGGCAGTAACAACATAAGTAGTTTGTGAATGTTGATATTTTGCAATCACTGCAACTTTGAGCATAGGCAATTTACTATCCACTAAGCTGTGAGGGATTTGATTTTACTGTATCCTGAATCTTCGTAGGTCTTGTCCTGGAAGAGCCGAAAGAACAAGACAGCCTCTAGTGGCTGCAGTGCATAACGTATTTCCTTTTTAAACGTGAATTCTAAACAATTCAGTGAGCCTTTGGAGTTCCAAGTACACAAGACTAATGGGTGCCGGAGATGCCCTGTCCTGGTGTAGTGGAATTATAATGAAGTGAAAGAGACAGATATTTACTCACATAGGCAAAGGTATGGTTATGTAATTAAAAAACCAAAGTAAAGGTTTTGATTTCTGACTTAGCCTGCATGGTCTCCAGTAAGTGATGCTGGAAAAGAGATGTTAGCAGACAGTGAAGTGAGAGAGGGTGTAGGATAGTTGGAAGCACCTTTCATGGAGAGGAGTTGCACCTGTGAAGGTTTATAGCAGTGAGGTGCCTGGGATACTTGAAAACCAGGAGATCAGTACAATAAAGCTTGGGGAGCGCTATGAGACACGGTTAGAAAAGGGGGCAGAGGCAAGTTCATGTGAGACTTTGTTAGCTGTGCTCAGGGTTTCGTCTCGATTAGGAAAGGGGCAGAGATGGAAGGGTTTTATACCAGGGTAGACATTGTGTAGCAGCAAATCATCTGATTGGTACTTTGGAAGAAACGAAGAAGTAATACTCTGACTATGTGGCAAGAAGTGGATGAGAAATGTCAGAGTGTATGTGGGGAGAACTACTGGAACATTGCCATAGTTCAGTAAGAGAGGTCTTCCCTCTTGGACTACAGGGTGACAGGGGCGATTAAGACAGAAGGATCATTTAAGAAACACAGGACTCTTGCAGTATGAGGGGAAAATGACTCCTTGTTCTCTGGTACTTGGGTGGAAGGTGATGCTGTCTTCTGAGAAGTGAACATTGGGGATTTAGGAGGATAGTAGACAAGCTCATGGTGAATATTATGAGCTTAGTTTGAGTGTTTTTGAAATGTCCAAGTGGATTTAAGAAGGTTGTAGTTATGTGTGTGGGTTTGGAGCTCTCTGTAGTTCAGGATTCTGCACGTAGGTAATAAAGTCAGAGATACGATGGAATGTACCAGGAAAGAAAGTACAGAAGTAACATACAGAGTGACGAGTTTTGAGTAACTCTAAAATTCAGTGATCTCATAGCAGCTTTTCTACATTGTTCGGAAATGTGGAAAACAAAAGGAAACATTTTCATAGAAGCCAAGGGATGACAGCCTATTAAAAAATGAAGGCATGGTTAACAAAGTCAGGTGAATGGAGAAACCACCGAAAATAAAGACTAACAAATAGTTATTGGGTTTTGCGCTATTAGTTTCTTAGTGAAAGCTTATTCTCTAAGGAACTGAATATTGTTTAAATTGTTTGAGAATTAGATGCTCATGTTAAAAAGAAGTCATATTCCATCTTTTCAAGAAGTTTGGTCATGTTGGGGGGAAATAGTCATAGTTAATTAAAAAATTGTTTTTCAGTAATTCTCATATTTGTGAGATGTGTATCCTTTTCCAAGATGTGGCTTAATACTTAATTTTCAGTGCTATGTAGTATTTCATTATGAATAAGCAGTTCTTTGTTCCCAATTGTTAATGTTGTTTCCATTTACTGTTATTTCAGATAACAAAAGTCAAGATAGGAATCTAAAGTTTTTTTGTATCTGTGTTATCTTAGTAAAGGAAACTTCCTTAACATTATAAAGGGACTCTGGGGCCGGCAAGTGGCACAGTGATTACAAGCGCTGGACTCCCACATGGCCAACCCTGGTTCAAGTCTTGGACCTGGTGGCTTGCTTTCTCACTTTCTCTCTATCTCTGTCTCTCTCTGATCAAACTGGAAAATAATAATGATAATACTAATAAAGTTAAATAAAATAATTCTTAAAAAAAACATTATAAAGGGACTCTATAAAAGTCTGGAACACTGTCATATTTTACCCAAAAATTGAGAGCAAGATAAGGATTTCTGCTGTTAACCTCTTTTGTTCAACGGTACAGTAAGTGTGAAGATCCTAGATGGTACAATAAGTGTGAGACATAATAAAAGATGTAACGATTCACAAGGAAGAAGTAAAGCCATCTTTAATCACAGCTAACTGTTGCTGTAGAAAATTTAAAAGCTATGTAGAAGCTATTATAATGATTTATCAGTGTTGCTGGATATAAAGTTAGTATATAAACATTAGTGGAGTTTTAATAACTAACAAGGAAGGTGCCAGCAGGTGTCATAGTGGTTAGATTGCTGACCACAGTTCAAGTTCCAGACCCAGAGTCTTGAAACTCATGCCAAGTGTGTGTGCCCCCAAAATCCCAAGAGGAGAATGGAGGAGAAGGGATTGTGAAGTGGCCATCCCACCTGGGAAGCCATTCTTGCTTTCTGTCTCTGTCTCTCTCTGTCTTTCTGGAAAGCACCCACGCCCTATAGCAAAAATCTAAAAAAAAAAAAACCCCAAAAAACAACAAAAAAAAATGGTACCAAAAAATATGAAATATACAGGGAAGAATTTGAAAATGATACACAAGACCTATACATTTGAAATAGCAAACATTGCTGAGAGAAAGAAGATGTAAGTAAATGGAGAGTTATACTGTGTTCCTGGACAGACAGACTAAAAATTGTTATTATTTCTTCCCAAGATGGTTCATAGATATATCAATTCCAAGAAAATTTCATCATGTTTTTTAAATTTTATTTTTTATTTTTATTGAAGATGGAGTAATATAATATTCTAAATGTCTAGATTTTAGACTGAAAAATTAGGTTTGTTTTGTTGTATCTATTTGAAATGATAACTTTTTTTAGGAGGCCTTGTGAGATAAGCAAAGAAGAAAAATAGTTATCCATGAGTTTCTTAATCCTTAGGAAAATTAGTATTTCACTGAAAAATTTATTTCCACATTCAGTATGTCAAAAGCCTTAAAGATGTTCATAGCTTTTGACTCAGTGATTGCATTCATAGCTGGTATCTTAAACATATAATATGAAATGTCTAAAAAGTTAACATAAAAATTATTGAATGTATATAAACTTAGATTAATCACAGTGATACTGTTAATAGTGAACAATTAGAAGACAGTCATTTAAGTCCTTACCTTAGTATTAGAGAGAACAGGAAAAGTGAGATGCAGCCAGAGACTTTAGTAATGGTAAATGTTGTGTGGCAAGAAGTTTTTAAAATGGAAGTACTAATGTGTGTAACGGTTAAAAAAAAAAAAAAATCAGGGGCCTGCAGGTGGCATAGTAGTTACATTACTGGACTCCTAGGTGGTTCACATAGGTTTGAGTCCTGGACCTGGCTGCTTGAAACTCACAAGAGGTGTGTGTGTACATGTGTACCCTGAATCCCAAGAGGAGAATGGAGGAAAAGGGACTATAGAGTGGCCATCCCTCCTGGGGGTTGATTTCTTGCTTTCTCTCTGTCTATCTCTCCAGAGAGTGCACACACCCTATAGCAAAAATCTCTCAAAAAATTTTAATTAAAAAAATATTTTTTTACTTAACAAAAAATAATCAGTAGATAAAATTGTGAGTCTCCCTTGGTGCAATGATAATGTGCTGCTCAAAGATAAGCCAGATCTCACATGGGACCATGGTCCCAGTCTCTGGCTGGCTTTGCCTAGGTTATGCAGGGCATGTGCACAAACTCCCAAGATTCAGAGGGCTGCAGGCCTAGAGGAGGAGGGTTGTTTCTGACCAGATCCTGTGGAAGGTATTTATTTCTTATTCGCTCTCTTCCTCTCCCCATCACACACATGTGTATGTGATCTATTGTAAAAATACAAGTATTTCAATTTATGAGTCTCTCTTAAAGTATAGATAGGATAAGAATTATAATGATCTCACAACAGAGATTTTTCTCCAGGTGGTAGAATCAGAGGTAATTTTTCTATATTTTTTAAACCTACCACAAGGATTTTATCTTAATATTCAAAATAACATTATTAAAATAGTGCTTGTTGAAACTCATGTGTACTAGAAAAGAAACAAACATTTGCTCTGAAAGTATCATTTTAGATTGCAAAGTAGCATCTACTAATGAATTTTGTCCTTTTTGGACTATCTTTGGTATTTAATCATGATTCTTGGTTCTATCAGAAAAAAAGGAATCCACAGCTCGATCATTTGCTCTATTATATTTTCTTTTTCATGATGTGCTTGGCTCTGATGAGAACTTCTCCAGTGTCTCATTTGTCTTTGTGGAGTATTTTGCCATCCTTTCTTTCCATGATGTGATTCTTCAGGCCAGGAAGAATAACATGTGTCTGTAGTTAAAGATGACCTCAGTTTTGGTGTTTCTCAGCCCAGGGTCACTATATGTATCTAATGCTATTAACATTAAGTAAGATAAATTGTAATTTTTTTTAATGGGCAGAGAGATTCACCAATAAAAGCAAATTCTCGAATGGCTTGAAAAGCACTCCCATGGACAGTTTGATCATAGCAGTTTAGCGGCACACAGTTTTACAGTGCTATTGAAATGTTTCTAAGTGTTTGTCATCTCATCATATCTGTGGCTGTCTTCTTACCACTGTTGGTAGTGCCCCAACACACAATTATCTACATAGTATGTGCACAGGATATTCTTATTACATGAGTAAACGTAATCTTTTTGTATTGTTTCAGGAAAGTAAAATATGTGTTTCCTTAATGAGTACAAATTTTCTGAAGTACAGATGAAATTTAATTTCCTGTATCATATTCAGCTAAATGGACACTATACATGTTTCCTGCTCAATTTGTTATAGTCAAGTGCCAGAAGACCTCTGATCTGCTTATCAAGGTAAAATATTAATAATAATAATGATGATTATAATGATTAAACCCACAAATACTTAAATAATTTAAGTCAGCCTACAAGTATTGAAATAAATAATTTGAAGTTTAATATTCTGAAATAGCAGTAATTATCATGCAGGCATCTAAGAGTAGCATGAGTTATGTTTTGTATTTTTTTTTTTTTTGAGAGGTTTTCGCTATAGGGCGCGTGTGCTTGCCAGACAGACAGAGAGAGACATAGAGACAGAAAGTGAGAAATCACCCCCCAGAGGGGATGGTCACGCTGCAATCCCTTCTCCTCCATTCTCCTCTCGGGATCTTGGACACGCACACACACGCGCCCGGCGTGAGTTTTAAGCCACCGGGTCCGGGACACGAACTGCAGTCGACTACGTGGGAGTCCAGCGACATAGCCATTAGGCTAACTGCTGGTTCCCATGTTTTGTATTTTGTATAGACTTGATTTGACTGAATCTTAACTAATTTTAGGACTAATTTAATTCTTTCTTTGAACTTGACTTTTTTATGAGCTTAGTGTACACTTAAGTTTATTATAAATTGCTTATTGATCCTAATTACTTATAATACTTGAACTCTTTTGTTTTGTAGAGGTTTTTGCTTTAAGACATGTGCACTCGCTGAAGAGAGAGACAGAGACAGTGAGAAGGAAAGTGAGAAATCGCTCTCAAGAGGAGATGGCCATGCCACAGTTCCTTCTCCTTCATTCTCCTCCTGAGTTCTTGGGGGGTACATACACACACATGTCCAGCATGAGTTTCAAGCTACTGGGTCTGGGACTTGAACCACGGTTGGCCATGTGGGAGTCTAGTGATGAAACTGTTATGCCATCTGCTGGCCTGAACTTTCTTTTCTTAGACTTTTTTTTTTTTTTTTTTTTGAGAGATTTTTGGTATAGGGCATGTGTGCTCACTGGAGAGACAGAGAGACAGAAATTGAGAAATCATCCCCCCGTGGAGATGGCCATGCCACAACCCCTTCTCCTCGATTTTCTTCTCAGGATTTTGGGAACACATGAACATGCTACTGGGGTGAATTTCAAGCCACTGGATCTGGAACTCGAACTCTGGCAGACAACGTGGGAATACAGTGCCTTAACCACTGCGCCACCTGCTGGCCTCGGAACTCTTTATTTTGCTTGAGACATTTTTAGTATGGGGCATGTGCATTAGCTGGAGAGACAGAGAGACGGAAAGTGAGAAATCACCTCCCAGGGAGAATGGCCATGCCGCATCCTCTTCTCCATTCTCCTCTTGGGATTTTGGGCACGCACACATACACGCCCAGTCCGGGACTCAAACTGCAGCCGACTACATGGGAGTCCAGCGATGTAACCATTATGCCATCTGGTGGTCCTAGCTTGGTGTTCTTTATCATGTATTTTATTTTGGCAATATCTCATTATTAAATGTTCATTGTTATACTATAATGATACTAAACTTGTGTATTATATAATACCTAAAAATATCAATTCAATGCAGTCATTAAAATCTGTGAAAGTACATGTGATTGCTCTAAGATTTGCCCCAACTTAATTTTGTCCTCTTTTTTTTTTTTTTTTTTTTAAGATTAACTAGTTACAATGAATATGCTGCTATTCTTCACTCTGGGATTGCTCGTGCATTTAGTGTTCTTCGCCTCCATCTTCGACATTTATTTTACATCTCCTTTGGTTCATGGAATGACACCTCGGTTCACACCACTGCCTCCTCCAGCAAGAAGATTAGTGCTGTTTGTTGCCGATGGCTTGCGAGCAGATGCATTTTATGAATTAGATGAAAATGGGAATTCTAGAGCACCGTTTCTTAGGTAAGTGTGCCAACTGATATGGAGAACTCTTAAAAATATTATCCTGGGGGGTCAGCAGATGGCATAGCATTTACATCCTAGACTTCCACATGGCTGACTGCAGTTTGAGTCTTGGACCTGGTGGCTTGAAAATATGCCGGGCGCATGTGCATGCATGCCTAAGATCCTGGGAGGAGAATGGAGAAGACATTGTGGTGTGGCCGTTCCCCCCCAGGGGGGGTGATTTCTCATTTTCCCTCTCACTCTCTCTGTTTCTCTCTCTCTTCCCAGTGAGCACACATGCTCTAAGCCTAAACTAAACTAAACTAAACTAAAAATATATATCATCCTGAGTTCAAGTAAGCAGAAGTGCCTTACTCTTTATCTCACGTTGGATGCAGGAGTGATGATAAGAGAGAACAGGGCACTTGTACATTTGCCTCTGTCTTATGGATTAGAACTGTAATGCCAGTTTCTTTCTAGTTGTTATTTCTACTACTGTTAAAGCTGGTATCAGGTGAATTGAAATGTATAGCCTTAGCTTCTTTGGATAACTTGTCCAAGTTTCCCAAACCTGGCTCATATCTGTATTATCTTTTTCTTATAAAATAAGCCTATTATTTTAAAAATGATGAAAAGCATAAATATTTAATGAATTGCTGTTACAATGGTGGTTAACTAGAAAATCAGACTTTAGTGACCAGCCAATGGTAATGGTTACGTTGCTGGACTCCCACGAGGTTGAACCGCAGTTCGTGTCCCAGACCCACTGGCTTAAACTCACACTGTGAGCGTGTGCGCGCATGCCCAAGATCCCACGAGGAGAATGGAAGAGAAGGGATTGTCACGTGGCCATCCCCCGGTGGGTGATTTCTAGCTTTCTGTCTCTGTCTCAGTGGTGAGCATATACACCCGGTAGCAAAAAACTCTCTTTAAAAAAAAAAAGAAAAGAAAAGAAAATATAGACTTCAAATCAAAATAGAGCCTTTCAAGTCCTTATCACTGTTTAATATAATTTCAGTTTCTATTGAATTTGAAAATAATGTTTAATTTTTTGGGGCTCATGAGACCCCTATGAATAATATTTTTTTTTCCTTTTTGGTGGCAGGCCCCTCAAAAGCCCTTCCTACTGCTGTGATGGAGAGATTAATATCAAATCCAAGAGGAAATTTATCTGAAATGTTGAACTTTCCCCCGTCTCCACCTGTCATTATATTCCAAACTTTTACCATTTTATTTTTCTTTGCTGCCAGTTCCTAGAACATAGTAGACACTTAACAAATATTCGTTGACTGCAAAAATAATGAATAAACTTAATGTTTCATTGACTTTCCAGAAATAAATTTATGGTGACTCAAAAAAAATGCATAATACACTAAAGGATAAAAATTAAAAAATCAATATCCCAGGTCAATAGGTAAATGTTAGTTGGAAATATCAAACTTGAGTTCAGTACAGTACGCAGAAATGTGTAACATAAATTTCTGCAAGTAATTAAAGTACTTGGGGAAATTTCTTAGTTGCCAAAGCAAAGAAAGACATAGTTTACTGAAAATTAATAATATTGTTTATTGGTTGTTAAAGCCAATAATCACTGAGGGCTAATGGCTTAAACAGTCAATGTCTTATGTTGTATGCTACTATGTATTTACAATTTCAGGAATGTTCTAGCTTCTCAGAAACCTGTTTGTAAAATGTTTTGTGTTCTTAAAAAATAAGACCCAAAATAATGATTTTATACCTCCCCACTATTCATTATATAACTCCAGAAGTTTTTAGAATAAAGAATATTTCCTCTTTAATATCTGATATAGTACTTTTTCAAACGATTTACTTACTATGTACATAATTACCAAATTTGTTTTATTATCAGTCAAGTTAGTATTAAAAGGACCTAAACTGGTGTATATAAATATTTTTAATTAGAATATATAAAAATCAAGAATGTAGTTTTTTGTTTGTTTTTCAAGAGAGATTATTGCTGTAGGGCACGGGCATTTGCCAGAAAGATAGAAAGCAAGAAATCACACCCCAGGGAGGATGGACACGCTGCAGTCTCTCCTCCATTCTCCTCTCCAGTTCTTGGGTGCACATGTACATGCACCCAGTGTGTGTGTGTGCTTTTTTTTCTTAAAGAAATTTTTTTATTTAACTTTGTTTATTTATTTTCATTTGACCAGAGAGGGACAGAGCGAGAGAAAAATTGAAAAAACAAGCTACCAAGTCTGGGATGCAAACCACAGTTGTTCATGTGGGAGTCCAGTGTCTTAAACCACCAAGCCACTTGCTGCCCCCCCCCTCCCCAATTCCTGTGTGAGTTTTAAGCCACTGAGTCTGGGACTTGAACTGTGGTTAGCTACATAGAAGTCCAGTGACGTAACCATTATGCCATCTGCTGGTGTCTGAGAATGTATTTTTAAAAATGTTACCAATATATTCACTGTTTTATAACTTGTTGCTCTGCTATTCACTTGGCTTACTTTTATTTAAAAAAATTTTTTTTTATATATATATTCTTTTTCTTGAGAAGTTTTTGCTATAGGGCACATACACTTGCCAGAAAGACAGAGAGACAAATGGAGAAATCACCCCTCAGGGGGGATGGCCATGCCACAATCCCTTCTTCTTCATTCTTCTTTCAGAATCTTGGACATGCATGCACACATGCCCAGCGTGAGTTTACGCCACCAGGTCCGGGACTCGAACTGCGGTCAACCACATGGGTCAACTGCATGGGAGTCCAGAGACATAGCCCTTACGTCAACTGCTGGTCCCACTTGGTTTACTTTTAATAGAATCATTTACTTTCTTTCCCAAATTCTGCACATTGCTGGCATAACTTATGTTGACACATTTTAGCAAAAGACACTTTTTGCCTGTTTTAGTCTTAGATTTAGGATATCTTAACTCCTAATTAGGACTGTAGCCATTTCCTCACTCTATAATTTTCTATTTGAAAATTTTTTCAACTGCACAAAAATTAAAAGAATTATGTAATGGGTAGGCCAATAGTTGGTGTGATGGTTAGGGTGCTGGACTCCCTCATGACTGACTGCAGTTCGAGTCCTGTACCTTGGGTGATGGTCACCCTGTAATCCCTCTTTCTCCCCTTCTCTCTTTCTGTCTCTCTGATGGGCATATGTGCCTTATAGCAAACTGAAAAAAAAAAAAAATTAATAGTGACAGATAAATAATGAAAAAAAAATTAATAGTGACAGATAAATAATAAAAAAAAGACAGGATTATGTTATGAACATCTGTATTCCCTTAACCTAGTTTATCAATTTTTACCTTTTTTGCATTCTCCCAGTACACACACATGCACCCACACACAGGGGTATGTATGAGTGTGTGCCTAATTTTGGTCATTTTTTTCCCTGAATAATTTGAAAGTGAGATACTATAATGCTTCAACCCTAAACTCTTCAACATGGACATAGCTATTAAGAATAAGGACTTGTATAATAGTCCCAGTGGGCTGGACTGAGGTGTAAATCATGCTGGATAAAGTCTTTTCACAATCGAAATGATGTGTAGCGATTTAATGAATGAATAATAATAAAAAAACACACTAATCTAGAGCAAAAAAAAGGGTAAGGACTTGAACCAGCATATCACCACCGTCACAGTGACCTTTAACAATTTTGTGTATATCATTTATCTCTGTGTAACAAACCATCTCAAGATTTTGTGTCTTAAAACGACAGTGGTTAGTTTGTCTCATGAGACGGTGCAAGGGTGAGAGGTTCTTTGCTGGTCTCACCTTAGCAGCTTTTCTGTTCAGCTGGTTGGAGGTCCAGACCCCACTCAGCTGGATTTTTTGAAAGTTTCATTTCCTTCTTAAATTTCAAGTAATTTTATTTTGGCTTTTGATTCCTTCTGTAAGAATCTACTTTTCTAAAGCCTTACGAAGGCATCTGACCCTAGTTTGTGTTTACTGTTTGTCTGTAATATCTTTTAGGAATATCATAATGCATGAAGGCAGCTGGGGGATATCTCATACACGTGTGCCAACAGAATCGCGGCCAGGTCATGTAGCCCTGATAGCTGGGTTTTATGAAGATGTCAGTGCAGTTGCCAAAGGTATTGTTTATTTAATAGCTTTATTAAGTGGAAAATTTGTTTTATAAATATTGCCTTCTTTTATCAAGACGATTATGTATTTTGGGATACTTTTAACAAGTGTTTTAGGATGTTTTACTTCCATGAACACATATTGGTATTGATTCTAGAATTTAGTCTTCTACCATTCATTGATTCTGGAATTAATTTTTTATCACCTTATGCTATTGAAAGTAAATATTAGGTCATCAGGAAAGTTATGACATGTTTTTTAATGCAAAAATGTGTTATGATTTTTCCAATAACCCGGTAGACGGAAATCTTGAATATTCAAAGTGAGTCTATTTCAATAAGTAAACTCTCTATTATTAATTTTTTCAATAGTGGTATAAACTTACAAAAAAACCCTATTATTAGTATTGCATTTATTTTCAAACTCATCATTACAATTTGAAGAATATTTCTTCAGGTGCATATTTCACCAAGTGTATATGTCTGTTCTTACTGCTCGCTCTTTTCCCCTATTACCTGAAGGATGGAAGGAAAATCCTGTTGAATTTGATTCTCTCTTTAATGAAAGCAAGTACACATGGAGCTGGGGAAGCCCAGATATCTTGCCTATGTTTGCCAAAGGTAAGAGTCATTGGTTCTATTTCCTCACGTGGTAAATAGGTTGTAAAGTGTTATAGCAACTTTTCATATATTACTTACTATATTTGTTGATTACGAGCTACATATTTTTACAGTTTTCACATCTTGAAAGAAGGATGTGTTATTACAGTAGATAGACATGTCAGGACACTGGCACCATTTTTCCTTCTCAGTTGTTCTTGAAATATTGGCACATCATACAGTTAGGTAGTCTTTTGGATTCAGTGAAATTATATATATGGTTTTATCCTTAGGAGCTTTATAATCTTGGGCAAGTTAAATAACCTCTGAGTTTTAATTTTCTTGTTTGTAAAATATGATAATTTCTATTTCATTGGTTTGTTTTTAGAATTAAATAATTCTTGTGAAACATTTAACAAAGTGCATATCACATAACTTCATTATGATGATGTTGATGTTTATTTCTTTTACTTATTTTTTTAAAGAATATTTACTTAATTTTATTCATTCATTTATTTTAATTTGATCAGAGAGAGAGAGAGAGAGAGAGAGAGAAAGCAAGGACGCAAGCCACCAGATTCAGGGCTTGAACCATGGTCAATCATGTGGGAGTGTCCAACACCTCAACCTCCATGGCAGCTGCTGGTCTTCTTGTTTTACTTATTATTGAAGGGATTAGAAGATACTCACATGAAGATTTAAATGTTAAATTTTGGAAGGAGAGACATTGTATGTCCCCACTAAATATAAACTGAGTGTCCGCACTCTATGACTGAAACTGATAGACTGAAGGATATACAAACACAGAAAATGGGTGTAAATCCCAGATACAGTGTGTGTGGAGGAGTAGGGCCTGAGGAAGGACATTTAGAAGAAAAAAAAAGGAGGCAAAGCATTAACGGGACAAAGAAATGTGATATTATCTGTTGAAGATATTTTATAGTTTAATCAACTGGACTAGGGAGAAATGTTCACATTTTGAAATACTCACTTTGTAAGGTAAATAAGGTAATTGAATGTGTAAAAAAATGAAATAAAAGAAAACAAAATTAAAAATGTTAAATTTTGTATTTATAATTTTTATTTTAATATTGACTATGCCATGTATTTTGGCATTTTATATATGACCTTTAATACATATGGCACTGGCATGCTAACCACTGTCACAATATGCCATGTGATACATTTAAATATAGCATTTGGAATTGTGTTTATATGCATGAATCTGCAACTTTTAGGACATCTCTTGACTAGAAAATCATTTATATTATTTTCAAAAATTAGTTGGTTGAATTTCAGCCATTAAATGCTTTTTAAGGGGAATAGAATGATTGATAATTTTACTTAATGGAGAGGTTTTTTGTTTTGTTATGTTTTGTTTTCAGGGTTTTTTTTTTCTTTCTTTCTTTTTTTTGTTTTTGTTTTGTTTTTTCTTTTTGAGAGGTTTTTGCTATAGGGTGTGTGCGCTCACCAGAAAGACAGAGAGAGACATGGAGACAGAAAGTGAGAAATCACCCCCCAGGGGGATGGTCACACTGCAATCCCTTCTCCTCCATTCTCCTCTCAGGATTTTGGACATGCATGCACACACACACCTCCAGCACGAGTTTAAGACACTGGGTTCAGGACTCGAACTGTTGTCAACTACATGGGAATCCAGCGATATCGCCATTACGCCAACTGCTGGTCCCTTGTTTTCAGGTTTTTTCCACAGGGCACATGTACTCGCTGGAGAAAGAGAGAAACAGAGACAGAGACAGTGAGAAAGCACCCTTCAGGGGGGTGGCCTTGCTGCAATCCCTTTTCCATTTTTCTCTCAAGATTTTGGGTACACAGACACTGCCTGGCATGATTTTCAGGCTGCCAGGTCTGGGACTCCAGCTGTGGTCAGCCATGTGGGAATCCAGTGCCTTTAACCACCACAGTACGTCTCTCGGCCCAAAGGAAAGGTATGATAACATAGACATGGGTTTAATTATAATAGTAGGAACTACTGAAAATTACTATATGTCAAACCCCCCCCCCCCATATTCAGAATTTTACATGTGTTATCATAGAACATTTTTTTAGTGGGTAGACCAAAAAAAACCTCAAACTGCTTGCCGCTGATACATTCTCTTCTTTGGAAAACAGCTTGGCTTTTCGGGGTACTGGTGATGCTGAGGATGGGTTAAGTTGCTACGGTTTACCAAATTAGTCTTCCTACTTCTGACTGTAATTGACTGGATAGAACCCATGCTGAAATTGAGACTGTCTAATAGGAATAATCTCTTTCTTAAATAACTATGTCATATCATATGACAGTTTAAAAGACCTTTTAGAAATGAGCTTTTTAGTTAGTACTAAATTTTAGTTCGTACTAATTTTTTAGTTAGTATTAATTTTTTAGTTAGTATTAATTTTTTAGTTAGTATTCAGATGTTTTTACTTGGATTGTGGACAGTAGAATGGTTGAGCAGGATAATAGGGTCATTAAGGTATACTCATGGTATAATAGAGATCATCATTACTTCATTGTATTTCCTCATTATCTAAAGAGCCAGTCTAACCCAGAAATTCTCTAAATTGATTAGATTTTTAATAAAGTGTTACAAATGTATAAGGTTAATATTTTTGTTGACCCCTTCTAACTATTTGGTCATAACAATATTTATTCTCTCATATTGAGAAAAAGACACATAGTCTATGAGTAAGAGAGTGAAATATTTTTAATTTTCTACTTACTTAATGAAGGTTTATATATTAGATATTGTCATCTGTTTTAGATTGTAACATTCCAAGAGGCTTCTGCACAAGTTTTTGTTTTTTGTTTTGTCTTTGGAGAGGTTTTCGCTATAGGGCACGTGCGCTCACCAGACAGACAGACAGAGACATAGAGACAGAAAGCGAGAAATCACCCCCCAGAGAGGTTGGTCACGCCGCAATCCCTTCTCCTCCATTCTCCTCTTGGGATCTTGGGCACGCACGCACACGCGCCCGGCGTGAGTTTTAAGCCACTGGGTCTGGGACGCAAACCGCGGTCGACTCCGTGGGAGTCCAGCGACATAGCCATTACGCTAACTGCTGGTTCCCTGCACAAGTTTTTGAAGTAGTTTTATTCTTTTAAGTTTTTGCTGTAGGCCATGTGAGCTCTCTAGAGAGAGACAGAGAGTGGGAAAGTGAGGAATAATCCTCTGGCTATGCTGCAATCCCTTCTTCCTTCTTTCCTCCTAGAATTTTGGGCACACACGCATGCACATGTGCCCAGCACGGAGTCAAACTGCCGTTGGCCACAGGAATCTTGTGCTTCAACCACCATGCTACCTGCTGGCCCCAGGAATAGTGTTATTCGTAAAGGGAAACAAATGTGGGTGTTTATTTTTGTTTTATTGCTCACAGATTGTAATTTTAGTTCATCTCTTACCTTTGTAATGTATCAGTTCTGGAAAGTAAAAAAGCAATAGGATATTTTAAAGTATATAGCATGGTCTGTGGTATGTTACTGATATGTTACTGAAATGTTACTGATACTTCCCATCTTTTTCTTCCCTATCATAATACTAAGTGCTTTGTGAAAAATTCTAGTTATTCACAAAAAACTGTAAATGACTATGTCATATTATGTGACAGTTTAAAAGACTTTCTAGAAATTAATTTTTTCCAAATTTTTTGTACAGGTGCTAGTGGAGACCATGTTTACATGTACAGTTACGATGCTGAAAGAGAGGATTTTGGTGCTCATGATGCAACAAAGCTGGATACTTGGGTTTTCGATAGTGTTAAGGTATGTGCTTTCGAGCAGTTAATCTATAAAACGTATTTTTACCTAAAATACTGGAAACTGGCTTAGTAAATGTATCTTAAAGTTTTTTCTGCTTGTATAGTTAGAAATCTCTGGGGTGCAGTGTACTATTTTAAAGAGTTTGAATTCTAAGAAATTGTACATTCTAACCAAGTAATAGAAGTTTTAAAAAAAAATTTGAAAAGGTAATCTTTGAAAATTCTTTTTCTGGTAGTAAGATTCAGGAAGTCTGCCTCGATTTTAATTTGGTGACTTGTGCTAGCTAAAATCTTCCTGGTCTTTCATTGACCACACAACCAGTCCTTTGCAGTAGTGGAACAAGTGAGGTGTGAAAGCCTTTTTAAAAACACTTTTCAGGCCAGCACATGGTGTGGTGTTATGGTGCTGTACTTCCATGTGGCCAACCACGGTTCAAGTCCTGGATCTAGCGGCTTGAAAAATCACTCTGGGCGAGTATGCATACTTGCCCAGGATCCTGGGAGGAGACTGGAGGAGAAGGGAGGCCCATCCTCCTGGGAGGTTGCTTCCTCGCTTTTCCTCTCTCTGTCTCTCTTGTGAGTGTACATGCCCTATGACAAAAACCTAAAAAAAAAATTATACAAACACACACATGCACTCACACGCACACACAATTCAAGTGTAATGCTTATGTAATCACAGTAGATAATGTTAAGAATATTGTACTTTAAAGAAAAATTAAGTAAACATATTAGATAAACAAAAACAAATGAACAAGTTATGAAATACCTATGAGTTTCTTTAAGGAATAGTTTTTGATACTGACAATTGTCAGTTTCACCAGAAGTATTGGATAGTGACAATTGTCAGTTTTGAAAAATCTACAATTTCAAAAATTGTGTGAAAATGGCAGTTGCGTCCATGGGCTCTCTCTACCAATCTATTGCTGCTCCTCTCCAAACACCAGCTCATAATACCTCCATTGTAAATGCTTTCTTTGACCTTAAGTGACACTTCTTTTTAGCAATGTTGTCATTTAAACTGACATTGTGGACTTCTCCATAAATTAGTCATTATGTTAGTTTGTTTGTAAATGTACCCCTCAGTAGATGTTTGATTTTTTTGTTGTATTTACTTAGCAGAAATAAAGTGCTCAAATATTTATTCAGCCTTACTTGTTTTTATCAGAGATATTTCTTCTTGAAACTTTCTTTTTCCTCTTAATATCTACTTTGGTCAGCAAGAAACTTCCAATTTAAATAAGATCTCTTTAAAATAAATAGTTATTTTCCTGTTTGTTTCTTAATATAATCTACATATAGTAATATCTACCTGAAAGACCTTGGCTTCTAATTTCATAAATGTAGTTAAACCAGCTCCAAAATCATGAATTTCATTCCTTACAAATGGGCAGACACAACTCTTGGCTAGCCTGATTTCCATACCTTTTCCCCTGTTTATTTCAATGCCAGTAGTGTTGGTGATATGATAGTGAACAGACAAAAAAGATTTGACCCTGATTTCTTTAAAATTAATATATATTAACCAAGTAATAACAAAAATATGAAAGCATCAATAGTACTAAATGATGTGGAGGAGAAATGACTGTATCTTTAGGAAATTCTGATCTAGAGTGTGTAGGGAGGGCAATGAAACTCTTCCTAGGAGTTAAAACTCTTTCCTAATGGTTTGAGTTGGCCTGTGAAGTAGGTACAGGTGGCAAAGATATGGATAGAGATGGATTGATGTAAAATAGAGTATTTTAGGCCAACAGCATTATGTAATTCTTGGCATAGCCCATTGATATATATATATAAAATTTAAAAGTACTGTCCAAAAGTACTTTTTAAATAGAAAGTTATTTATTTATTTATTAATTTTTATTTTATTTATTCATTTATTTTAATTTGACCAGAGAGGGAAGAGAGAGAGAGAGAAAGCAAGCCTCCTGGTCCAGGACGCTGACTGTGATCTGCCATATGGGAGTCCAGTGCCCTTAACCACCATGCCACCTGCCGGCCCCCATAAGTACTTTTATACATGCTCATTATATACTCCTGTATGTGTATATGTAAATACAGGGTGAATCATTTGTCTTAGAGCTTTATGAATCCAGATTTTCATTAAGAAATAAATATAAGTTTTACACTATATTTCATTATGTGGACTTTTTAAACTCAATCATGTGAAGAACATATTCTAGTCAAGGCAAAGGAAAAAGAAGGCTGTCTGCAGTGCTCTGAATGAGACAGTGTGGTTGTAACACCACCGTAGCAGGTAGGACAATGAGAAGTGGTCTAGTTGTGAATATATTCCAGAATAATTAATTATTCTTAAGTTGTTGCCACTATTACTGTTTTATGCTTATGAAAATATGTTTCTTCAGTCTGCTACATTTTATTTAGATATAGGACAACAATGTTACAAGAGCTTTATGAAATCAAGATCCCCTTTCTTTAATCTTTTTTTGTTCTAATTAAAACATTAAAAAATTGTAAAGCATTTAAAACAAAGTAGCTCACTTATTCTTTGAACATAGATGCCTGAACTGATAAGAAAGACTTCTAGTTGTTAGGTCGTAAAAACAGATTTAAATAACTTATGATAATTTAATTTTATAGCTATTTATAAATTTAATTGTGTTCATCAGTATTATTTTTTAAATTAAAAAAGTGAACTAAAAATTTTTAACTGATTTATTACATAGGACTTCTTTCTTGCTGCCAGAAACAACCAGTCTTTGTTTTCTAAGATAAATGAAGAGAAAGTAGTTTTTTTCTTACACTTATTAGGAATAGATACAAACGGACATGCCCACCGCCCATCATCAAGGTAATTTTAGTTTGATTTTTTTTTGAGGGAAGTAGCTATTCTCTTTGAACGGTTGAAAGTAGTGTGATGTTTTCTTTGGTCTTGTAACAATGACGCTAGTATTTTAAATAATGCTATAATGCCCAATAAATGTTCAGTTATGAGATATAGTATGATATAGTGGTTAAAAATCACATGTGCTATTACATTAATATAAATGAAATATATTCTCTATATTATTACCATATTCTCCATTTATCATGGCAGAAAAATGATTATCTAAAATATCTGTATAGGTTAGGGATAGTTTCAGTGAATCTTGAAATAAAAAGCATTTTGTAGCATAACTTTTGTCTTAATTGCCAGAGGACATGTGTACTCACCAGGGGCAAAGAGAAAGAGAGGGAAGTAGGGAGTACCCCGTAAAGGAGCATAGTCACTCTGTAATCCCTTCTCCTCTTGTACATGAAACAGCAATATGCTTCTTACTTTTGCAGACCATAAGAATAAAGAAGAAATCATGTCATACTTTTTGTTCTTTATATTGCACTTGATTTAGATTAGACTGACTCTAACTGTGAAGCCTACTGGATTAGCTGCCGTTAATGAATACTGTGTGTGCCCCTTACTTTTTTTTTTTTTTTTTTGAGAGGTTTTTGCTATAGGGCACATGCGCTCACCAGAAAGAGAGAGACAGAGAGTGAGAAATCACTCCCCCAGGGGAGATGGCCACGCCGCAATTCCTTCTCCTCCATTCTCCTCTCGATATCTTGGGCACGCACACACACGTGCCCAGCGTGAGTTTAACCCACCGGGTCCGGGATTCAAACTACAGTCGACTACATGGGAGTCCAGCGACATAGCCATTACACCAACTGCTGGTCCTAAGATGCACTGTTTTAATGGATGGGATATTCATATCAAACCAACCTTGTTCAAACTCTATGGAAAGCTCAAATGCAAAATAATTTGTGCAAACTCTATTTGTTCAAAACATCTCTATGAGATGAGAATATTATATTTTTTTCTTTCTTTTCTTTTTTTTTTTTTTGAGAAATTTTCATTGTAGGGCGCGTGCGCTCGCCAGACAGACAGAGAGACAAAGAGACAGAAAGTGAGAAATCACCCTCCAGGGGGGATGGCCATGCCACAATCCCTTCACCTCTATTCTCCTCTCGGGATCTTGGGCACACACACACACGCACCTGGCATGAGTTCAAGCTGCTGGGTCTGGGACTCGAACCGCGGTCGACTACATGGGAGTCCAGCGACATAGGCATTACACTAACTGCTGGTCCCAGAATATTGCATTTTCTAAGCAATGATACTTATCTATTGATGTTGTCAAAGCAGTATAGTTTACGTTATGGAAGACATTAATATGAAAGTCATCATTATCTTGTTTGGGACTTAAATAGAGTTTATTAAGGTGAATCATCAACCCAGCCTATGGTGTGGTCAAGGCCGCTAGAGCTCATGTGTCTGAGTGTGCAGTCTGAGCCCCAGACTTGGCAGCTTGAAAAACATGCTAGTAATGTGTGCCCAACATCCAAAGAGAATGGAGGAGAAGGGATTGTGGCTTGGTGATCTCCCTGGGGGTGCTTTCTCACTTTTCCCCTTCCTATCTCTCTGTCTCTTTCTGCCAAGCACACATATACCATAGCAAAAATTAAAAAAAAAAATGGTATATGATAGTTAATACCTTCCTTTTAAGCTATCTCTGAAAACATTTTAGGATCTTTTGTTTCATTAAAGGAGAAAACAATTATTTTAAGCAGTCTAAACGGCACTCGTTTTATTGGATTGTCTAGAAAGTCCTGATGGATTTTTGCATAGGAAGACAGAAAATGTCATGACTTTCCCAATAACCTAATAGTGAAGATAAAATCTGAATGTATTTCAGGAATTCCTGACTTTAAATATAATGAGTCTATGTTGAATAGGTTTGATTTCTATTAATTAATTTACTTTTCTTTTTTTTTTTTTTTCCAAAGGGACTATAAGGACAATATTAAAAAAGTCGATGATGGAGTGAAAGAAATTGTGTCCATGTTTAAACATTTTTATGGAAATGATGGAAAAACGACATTTATCTTTACCTCTGACCATGGCATGACAGACTGGGGTTAGTTTTATCTTTAAATGATATGTATACATTACAGTTAAAGTAGTGGTAAATGTGGCTTGCAAATATCTTACATTGCTGAGAGAAATAGAAGTCTTAGTATATGTAAAATACCTAGCACATAATAATCGCTTAAAATGTCAGCATGAGAAAGGATTGATCTTATATAAAGAATATTTTCTTAAAGAATTATTTTATTTAACTTATTTATTTATTTATTTTAATTTGACCAGAGAGGGACAGAGTGAGAGAGAGAAAGGGAGAGGGAAAGTGAGAAAGCAAGCTGTCAGGTCCAGGATTCGAACCATGGTTGGTCACGTGGGAGTCTAGCACCCTTAACCACTGTACCACTTGCTGGCCCCTAAAGAGTCTTTTTTGTAGCAATATCTCATTTAAAAATGAGAAAGTAGAGAAAAGTATGGGGAGGACAATAAACATACCTATTACCTCCTGCCTAGAATTTACTGCATGCGATGGTAAAGCAGGGATACTAAGATGAGTATTACTGAGGGACCTGGGACTGCACAAATTCTATCTTGCATAAGCCGGTGCTTCCTGTGAGGTTCCCAAGGCAAACAAATAGGGTGTCCGCAGAGAGCATAGTAAAGCAAAGAGGGCTGAGCCCCTAAATCACAGTACAGAGTAATTCTGAGGAGCTGGGTTCCACTTCATAAAGGACTTCTTTTAGCTACACCAGCTGGAGTGGATTGGAGGAAGAGTATCTGGTGATCTTAGTGCTTTGTAAAACAGACCTGGCCTACACAGCTTGCCCTAAGTTGGGCATTTACTCTCTAAAGCTCTCTCCTGCTCCTTCTGTTTTCCGTTGCTACTCTGGCTGTGGTGACATCACTATCTTAATGTTACTGTTTTTATTTAATTTTCAAAGAGTCACTCAGCAGGCATTTTGAGTCTTTTTTTTTTTTTTTGGAGAGATTTTCACTATAGGGCGCGTGCGCTCGCCAGACAGACAGAGAGAGACATAGAGACAGAAGGCGAGAAATCACCCCCCAGGGGAGATGGTCACGCCGCAATCCCTTCTCCTCCATTCTCCTCTCGGGATCTTGGGCACGCACGCACACGCGCCCGGCGTGAGTTTTAAGCCACCGGGTCCAGGACGCGAACCGCGGTCAACTATGTGGGAGTCCAGCGACATAGCCATTACACTAACTGCTGGTTCCCAAGTCTTTACAGTAGTTTTTGCCTGTTTGTTTTTGGTAGTCTGACTTGTTTTGTGGGAATATTTGCAAACTAATTGATGTAAAAAGTTGTAAATATTTGGAACTGTGGTGGCTAGAACCAGCTCTATATGGATCAACTCTTTCAAAATGTTTTTCAAAATAAATATTTACCTATAAATTCATATATTCTTATTATTCTTGCTGTCTTGTTTATAGGTTCCCATGGGGCTGGTCATCCTTCAGAGACTTTAACTCCTTTAGTCACTTGGGGAGCTGGAATAAAGTATCCCCAAAAAGTATCAGCTCAGCAATTCAATGATGCATTTTTGAAAGGTATAAACATTTTTCTTTATTTTTATAAATATAACATTTAAAATAAAGTGAAAGTTTAATTAAGCAAATCACTTCAAATTATATCTTTAAACCCCTCATTTTAATATTCATGTCGTTATTATTTCTATGAAACTCCACAAATCAAGGGGTCCGCTTGTTGGTTTTATTCTCCTACAGAGCCATTTGTTAAACATTTCCCAGCATAAGCATACCACTGCTAATAACTACTTATTCACACCTTTTTCAATGCCTGGTAAGCTGAATTTTTAATGTTTTATTAAATTTATTTTAATTAATTTGAATGTGAGCAGAACAGATAGAGATAAGATAAATGAGAGTAAACAAGTTTCTGAGAGATATATCATAAATTTGATTGTGATTTTCCCAACCCAAACAAAAACAATATATACTATCAGTCATAAAATCATGGTATCTACAAGGTATATTTATTAGATCAAAAGCTAGATAGGGTAACAAAAAAGACCAGGGTGCAGCCGTCAGTGGGCTCAGTGTGGTAAGTCGTGGTGCATTTTCCAGAGGGCAGTTTCGTGCACACTCAGTGCTAGCACAGAGCACACGCCCAGTCACAGGTCACAGAGGCGGCGTTAGGACAAAGGGCTAGAGTAACGTAGCCAGCACCCTGTCACGGTATTTCCAGATTTGCATAAGCATAAAATGAAAAGAATCTAGGTTATTTTTTCATCTACTATATATCTTTAAGCTAGTCCTTACTTTCACAAAACTTAACACTCTAGTATGAGACTTAAAATGGTTATAAGCAAAGTATTAGAAGAAATCGATAGGTTATAATAGGATAATAGTTCTGAAAGAAATTAGAATGATGTGGTAAAACAGGTAAGAGGAGATGAGACTAGGCTCCTTTCCTCATGCCCCTGAGGTTTTTGAGGTGTTTAATAAGGTAGATAAAGTGCATTAATCTTAACTGTATATATATCACGATGGGTCTTGCATGTGCATCTATAGCATGTACTCTCCACCTGGATTCACAGATGCAACAATGCGCAGTGCCCCAGAAACTTCCTTTTGGAACAAGATACTTACTGTAGAGAGGGCTAGTGATGGGTAGTCAGAAAAGTCATGATGCATTTTTGCATAGAAAAATGTTCACGGTGGGGATACAAGGGAGCCATTCACATGAAGGTGAAGGCAAGGTGTTCCAGATGGGGGGACCAACACATGCAGAGCCTGAAAAGGAAAGACCTTAGTGCATTTGAGACAGGAGGCCAAAGTGGCTGGAGCGCTATCCTTTAGGAGGAGCGAGAGGTTGGAGAGGTAAGCAGGAAGTAGATCATTTGAGACATCAAAAGAACATGAGTGAATTCTAAGTGCTCTGCTGTGCCGTTGAAGAGGGAGAAGCAGAGCACTGCCAGGATTGCAGTTTGTGGTAGGCACTATCTTTCTGGCCACTCTATGGTAAATGGATTAGGCTAAGCCTGAAAAGCTAAAGTAGGGACCCGAGATGGTGTAATGTTTACGTCACTGGACTCCCACATAGTCAACTGCGGTTCGAGTCCTGGACCCGGTGACGTAGAACTCAGGCTGGGTGCGTGTATGTGCATGCCTAAGGTCCTGAGAGGAGAATGGAGGAGAAAGGATTGAAGTGTGGTCATCTCCTTGAGGAGTGATTTCTGTTTTTCTGTCTCTCTGTTTCTCTGGCAAGTACACATGCCCTATAGCAGAAATCTCTATAAATAAGTACGTAAGTAAATAAATAAATAAATAACTGAAGTAAATAGTATGTTTATACTTTGGAGATACGCCTTCATGTTCTCAATGAATTGATGTTTCAGAATCACGTGACATCAAAATTATCACAGAAGGAATGTATATTTTCTCATGAATATTAAATATCATAAGTTATAGAGAAAAGAGATATACATTTTTCCGTTCATCCAGTGATTAGTGTAAATTTTTGGCATCAGACTAGTAGAAACAGGAACAAAACCTGGATTAGCTTATTAAAGAACATTTTGTCATAAAAATATCTGAGAGCCTTTTGGTAATATATGCTAAAGCCATTAAATCAAGTCATGGCATCATATACTCACTTTTTTTCAATTACTGTTTATTAGAATTTCTGAATTTACATGTGAGAATAGGAGAGTACAGCTATCTTTGAAAGCAGTTTTTTTTTTCTTTTCTTTTTTTTTTTTTGAGAGAGATTTTTGCTTTAAGGCACGTGCACTTGAAGAGGCAGAGACAGAAAGTGAGAAATCATCCCCCATGCCACAATCCCTTCTCCTCCATCTTCCTCTCCAGATCCTTGGCACGCATGCACATGCGCCTGGTATGAGGTTTTAAGCCACCAGGTCTGGGACTCGACCTGTGGTTGGCTATGTGGGAGTCCAGCGATGTAGCCATTACACTGCCTGTTGGTCCCAGAAAGCAGTTTTACAGTTAGTTGCTCAGTATTTGGGGTTGGTGTCGGTAGGAGCATCACAGCTGCAGTTGCAGGTACGTGGCAAGCAGCTGCCGTCACAGGAAAAGGAGAGGCTAGGCGACTGCCTTGCTCTCAGTCTCCTCCATGTCTCCGACCGGGACTGTCGGGAGCTGTAGCTGTGCCCACCGTTGTTATCACTGTACTTTTTACTTTCCTCTTTCCTTCCTTAGCCTTAGATGTTTTGAAACAATTACCTTCAAGTGAGCATCTTAAAATCTTAATAAATCCATCCCAGGAAACACAAATATTTAGATTCCAGTTATTCTTTTTAAGAAAATATATATCTCTGCCTTTTTAAGTACACTTTCAATTTATACTTGGCTTAAAAGAGACATCTGTTTCCAATACTTGTGTTTTTCATGAAGTATTGATTACTCTGAAAAATTAATGATGTACTCTATTTTAACTCTTAACATCAGCTCTTGCGCCTGATTGTGTCTTTCAGAATGGAGGCTGGAGCACTGGAAGAGGCAAGATGTCAATCAGGTATGAATTTCAATTTAATTATACTCTAATTTATTTCCTACAAGAAGTTTAGACCAAAAATATGAAAAAAATAGATATATTTGGGACCAGTAGTTGGCGTAACGGCTATGTTGCTGGACTCCCATGTAGTTGACCGTGATTCAAGTCCTGGACCTGGTGGCTTAAACTCATGCCGGGTGCATGTGCATGCGTGCCCAAGATCCTGAGAGGAGAATGGAGGAGAAGGGATTGCCACATGGCCATCCCCCCGGGGGGGTGATTTGTCACTTTCTGTCTCTCTGTCTCTCTCTGTCTTTTTTTTTTTTTTTTTGGAGGGGTTTTTACTATAAGGGACATGCACT